TTGTTGTGGCCAAAGTGCAGGACCCTGCACAGAGGGGGGAAAAAACGTAGACAGGTGGGGGAAAGACGCAGTCCTGACAAAGTCCTGTACATTGCTCAATCAACATACTAGCTTAAAGACCAGTTTCTGGGCTGTGTTTCCAAATTCAGTGCACAAATGCTTTCTTCTTTTGCTTCTACAAGTCCCTGACATCATCCCTACTTGGTTTGTAGGCTAAGAGTGCTTAAGTAAAGGAGTGAGGAAAGAGGAAAACAGAAAAGGGGAAAGAATCAGGCTACTAGAAAAGAAAGAAAATTGTGGATTAGTCCAGCAGCATAGGGTTTGTTTTTTTTTTTCCTCCTCAACATAGGCTCTTATTCCCCCAAGGTACGTTACGCTCCAGAAACACTGGTTGTGCACAGGAGGCTTCAAAATTATTTTGGAAGAACTCAGTATACTTTGCTATAACACATGATCAATTTCTAAACCTGTGATAAGAACTGGCAATATTGAACAGACTTGGAACTGTTCTTTTACTATTCTGTGGTTCAGAACACACCTTGTTAATAGGGATGCAGAACTTCTTTTACAAAGGTAACGTGATTCCCCACCACGCCCCCAGTTTTAAAACTCAAGGAAAAAAAAAAAAGGGGTGGGGGGAAGAGAGAGAGTATTCAGACACTATATGCACTTTACATGTTATTCCTAGCTCTGGATATTTCAAATTCAAGTACATCAACATTTGCTGTAGTATATGCTGCTACAAAAATTATCATTCAGGTAACTTTTGTCAAGGAAAAAGAAAGGAAAAAAAAAAGTAAAAAGGCAGTAGTTGCACTTCTAATCTACCTCCACCAATGTTATTTCAGAATTAACAGAGTAGTTGAATTGAAATAGCGAGTTTATGAGTAAAATGAATAAACCAAATATACTCGAAAAGATAAAACTCTTTCCAGGCTTAAATACACTAAAAAAAAAAAACGGTGGGGGTGCAGCTAAGGAACAGAAAACCTTCCATTTTAGTGTCAGTCTCATCACAACTGCAAATGTGAATGGCTTATGCAACAGCAGTTCTCCCAAGTCAGCAGGTACATCCTGCTCTCTCTACATAGCACATGCACTTCCAATATACGTCTTATGCCAGGACTTTAACTATTCCAATTTATAACAGTCTCACCTAATTCTGTAAAGACAGACATTTAAAATATGCTATTTTCTTGTTCTAGCTACTGGATAAAGTAGAATCTTTTAAGTTGTCTCTTCAGGTGAGTATCACTGATACATCTGCGCATGATTAACAGTTGTGCAAGGAGACTTGAAGATGGCACATCTCCCATTCTCTGCTGGTTGAATTTCACCATCCATGAACAGCCTCCTCAGGTTCCAGCCTGAGATTAACAGCAGCAGAGTTCCCAGCCATGGCTGTCACAACAAGAAATCAACCAAGAGCTTATTTAATAGGGATTGTTAACACAAAAAAGATTTTGTGAAAGCAAAACAAAAACAAAACACCTCAGGGAGGATTTCAGTTTCCTTTGTGCACTGTGCTTCAAAGTACTGGAAGCAGACCTGCCACATGTGAAAATGGGTAGAAGTGTTTTTCCTTGCACCAGACTAGTAGTTATCCTTTTTCACTGACGTAAGAATATACTCGTAATAACATCCATTACATTTAAAAGCAATTTTTAAAAGCCATTACAAAAGTGGTCTAGTTATTAAAAAGAATTATATACTTAAGTAAATAAAAATATTTGTAAGTAAATAAAAACAATTTCAGTGTTACCTCTGTCTTCCATAAACTTGTAAAGCTGTTGGAGGAAGTTGTCCCTCTCTTCAGGATCAAGCTCTTCCTCAGGCTGTGAAAACAAATGCAGTCATAATGAAAATATAAAATATGCAAAGTAGCAATTTATTTATACAAAAGCCTAACAGCAAGAACTAAACCCAAACCACTTCCCATTTGGCCCTGCACCCATGTAATGGCAAAATATGCAGAAAACAAAATTTTCTTGGGACACATAAGTGCGCACCTCAGGAGGAGAAAGAAAATGCAGGTCAGGGAAAGCCTCAACCCATGACAGAAAGAATGTTAAGTGTGACCCTCAAAATGAAAACACTAATATACTTAACATATTGTTCTAATACAGAAAAGGTCTGTTATTTACAAGACTGAAGCAATTCACAGGAACTGTGGAATCTTTTTTTATTTTTTTTTTGTTTGGATTTTTTTTTGTTTAACTCCTCTTCCTTACTCCAACTACAGCTAAAGCTGCAGAACAATTCTTTCTCCAACCGTTCCTGGTTTTGATGCTCCAGACGGTATTCATTTTGTGATTAAGCTCCAATGCTCAATTTCAGCTCATATTTGAAAACACTTATACAGTCACTTCCATAATTCCCTGAACACATATTTCCATAATTTACTATTATAAATTCCTTAGTTTTACCTTTACAACTTAAATCCTCAAATAGATAAACACTTATGAACTTTATGGCAAGCAGTCCACAGTGTGAAATAAAGATTTTATTTTATTCAGGTGGAAACCATGAAAATAAAGTACATTTATTAGGGGGAGGGAAATAATTTCTACATATTTACACATACTTCATGGAAATCTGAGATGCTTGAAGAGACCGGGGAGGGGGGGAATCTTTTCCCTGCAATGCTTTACGCATGCCACTTTCTTCCTGCCAGCCTGGCAATCATAGGGATTGCTGGTAAGGCAGTTTGCACAAGGAAGACCGCAGCTGTCTTGAAAGAAAGACGTACAGTACATGTCAAAAAAATGCTTCATTACATTATTAAAAATAATAGAAAAGTGACAAGCAGTTCCAGAAGGAAACCAGAACAGCAATTTCAATTTTCAGTCATCTCTGCGTTCTGTAAACTTTAAGCTTCAAGGCACAAAGATAGGCAGTGAAATGTAAATGTATATGCTACTGCCTTGTTAACCAGAAAGCAATCTGCCCAGCATCAGAATGGATTTCAGCCCTGCCTCCTTCAGTGAATTCTGAGCTTCAAAGCCTAACAGGGATCACCCATAATCAGGCAGAGACAATAATTGTTTCTTATTTTCCTATTTCTTCTTGGGAAATAATTGGAGGAAATTAAATGAATAATCACAACATTGTACAGCATTGGTTACCATTTGCTCATACTGCATATTATAGGGATTATATAAAGAGAAACAGTTATCTACAGAATTACTATGTTCGTCCAGGTTAACAAATGAATTATTGCTATAGAAACCACAGCTTTTTTCTCTCCATTTAGATTGCAAACCAACTTCAAGATCGAGAAATTTCTACCATGTACTGTAACGTTTACTGATTAAAGGCAATACAACTCAAACAATGCAAAACAAATACATCTAATAACAGTAAACATTCAGAAGTATTTCTGAATAGTTGAATTCAAACCATTTCTTTTATGTGGGCATAATGCCAAACCAAAACTGTAGGTCAGAACAGCAGAAACGTAGGTTAGAAATAGCATTCTTGCAGCTAGAATGTTAACCATTTCACTGATACCAAGTATTTTCAGCTAAAGAAAAGCGAAAAGAAAGAGGAAAAGCTTTTACACACTTACAAGACAAAGGCATAAAACCTGATTGCAATATTCATCCACTTATATGAGAGACATCTTGAATCCTGTACCTCCTTCTCTCTGTTGATGGTATATGAGCTATGTTGCCACCCCTTGACAAAAAGAGTCTGAACCATGGCTCAAACCATGGTACCTATGCCAGAGTAGACACCAAATCCTTCTGAGAGGTGCCTTGAATAAGACCTGAATAACTGTCATCAAGGAATAAATCATGTATCCACTATTTCAAAGTCTTTTTTTGCTACCGGCCAAAATGAGAAAGACCAACCCTTCATGGATATGCTTACTGAAACATTAAGATACATGGATTTTTATAAGATGTAATTTTAATCAAGGTTATCTATTTGTAAGTGGACATAATGAATTCCCAGGAGAGTCTACTGTTCTGAGTTAGAGTTGGGTTTTATTTCAACTATATCAACCATCATCTAAGCTGCTGTATCAGCACCCTTAAATCTGTACCCAAAGTGAAGAAAACACCTGAGAAATGTTGATGCCACAACCTGCAATCACCATCAGTGAGTTACTGGACAGATAAAATTCCCAGCATCTCTTTTTAGCAGGCACTGGGGCAACACTGCTACACTCCAAAACTCACTTCTCCTATCCAGACACTTATGCCCATTTTAGATTGGACATAAGTAAGATCACAGTGACAATTTTCAAAGTCAGTTTTCTTACGAGACTTCTGTCTCTCCATTTAATTTTTTTCCTATACAGGAGTTGCAAGAAAGGGAGACTGTAGCTACAGGTAAGTCCAAGTGAGAGGCAAAACAATATGAAATTTTTAAGCAGCAGGAGTTCAAAACGGAGACCTTCCTGTTGTTCATCCAACACCCTTAACTATATCTAAGAATCTCCAAGATGCCCTTTTTTGCTTATAATTAGGAAGTTGAAAATTTATGGATTTGAGATTTTTTTTTCCTCCTTTCTGACTAGCAAGTCACATCAATTAGAGAATATTGTAAACATTAAAACAATGAAATAAACAATAAACACAGGATCTCTGCATAAGGGACATACTCCTTTCCCAACTCAACTTCTTATGCCTTCCAAGTAACACTAACAGTGTTCAAGTATTTTGTAAAATTATTTTGAGTAACAAACTAGCTAATAAAACCCACAGATACTTACAGAAAACTTATAACTGGCTTTGCATGTTTTTGTTTCAAGCCACATCATTTACCATGAGTTTTGCCTGTCTTTAGCATGATTTTAAACAAGAATACTGCTCTGTTATCCTGACTCATCCTTTACTCTACAGAAAGATGTTAAACCTTCTGCAGATGCTAACCTGTAGAGCTCAGTGGGAGCACAAAGGATGAAATAGTTTATTTTACAAAACAAAGAATGAATCTCTACTCCCAAGCACATACACCATATACTCAATCAATACCGAGCTGAGGTACCAGGGACAGATCTTTCTTTTATGTTATTAATAGACCGACAAAACCATAAACTCTTCTGTGAAATAAATGCAAGCTAAGAGGAAGAAGAATGTGTACAGGATCTGGAGTTCAGAAGAGTATATGAGCAAGACAAGCTGTGAGAATTAGAGTTAACGTAATTCTGTTGCTTCAGAGTACTTAAATGCATTTTCATCACTTGCATATTTGCTTTCTGATGCCAAGTTTGAACACTAATTAAGGAAATGAAAAGAATTAAACTGATTGCAACACCTTAACAGCTTTCCAGCATGTGGAGATGAAAGTGGTCTTAAAATGTTAATTTCTACCAACAACCAAGGACTGGGAATTCAACCATCCTCAACAATGACTCACTCTAGAGCTGTACCTCAGTTTGCAACTTCTTCACCCCTCTTTGAGGAATATTCTGAGAACACCTGTCAGCATAAACTTGTGAGCAAGAAAGTCTTCATAAGGAACATTTGTGCACAGTAGCCAAAACTCCTACAAATGCATGCATGCATGAGCAGGATGATTAGCTAATCAATGTTTAGCTATTTTTTAAAAGGCTTTTTTGCATATTATACATCACAGCTGCTTAAGTTGTTGGGGTTTTTTTAATACATGGAAATAAACTCCTTGTTTCTGGATAACATGCTTCATTAACTTTGAAATTACTGTATTCCTATATTCAATTCTTAGAGTAATTTTTTTCAATGTTATCATAAAATACACATAGGTTGCAACAGAAATGGACGATTCAGGTATCATTTTATGTGGTCTCCCACAGCCACTTAGAGAAAAGACTACATAGGAAACAAGAACTAATTTGAAGCAAAATGTGAGTATTTTAATAGATGACAACTGATCATGTATAGGAATCTCAAGCCTCTTAAAACACATCATGGATTTTATACACTTATCCTTCTTTTATGAACTTACTGCTAATAAAATATAGGGCAATGATTTATCATGACAACTGAAATCCTTGCTTACTTCCAGAATAGGTACATTAGAAAATGCTTCTTGCTTTTTCCCTGCTCAACAACGTAAAGCAACTCTGACTGATATGTTTCTTGATGCTGTTGTGATGGCAAAACCCCTAAAAACTTTAAATGAATGAACATTATTAAACATACTACAGATACATCCTTTAAGTGACTGTCAAAATGAAGACTAAGAGAAAATTCCTTTAAGTATGCACCTGGAGGTGCTACAACTCTTTCTTCAATGAGAGGCATGGAGACCAGCTAGCTGGAATTTTTTCCTGCATGTTTCTTGCATGTTTGATTAGGGAGGAGGGAAAGAACAAGGAACTGCCATTAAAATGACACAGATAAGTTGGAAGAGTCTCTCAAAGATGGTGTTATAATCAATTCCATGGGTAAGATAAAAACTCCTTTTTGCAGCTCTTGATATTACAGAAAGATTCAATTTTGAAACTTGCAAAATTCAAACTCTAAAGAACAATTTCCTTCTGCTCTGATCTTATGTGAATGTATCTATTAAGAACACATACTGAAAATGTATTTCAAATAACTGCATGTTAAAAATCTTGATTCTTTTGGAATCAGAATGGCCTACAGGGAGACTGAGAGGCAAAACCAAACGTTGCCTACATATTCCCTTGTAAAATGGGGAGTATCTGATTATTTAATCCTGAGAAACAAATATGTATGACTCCTTCCCTGACAGAACAACCTAAATACAAGCATATACTTGCAGATATGCTGATTTTTAATAAAAATCAAGTAATGTTCCAAAGCTTCTATTTTTATGTGGAGATACTGGAGCTTAATTCTCTTTCCTTTTAGCTGCAGTGCATTCTTTGACTGCCAAATGTACCTTCAAAATACAGTTAATTGTCTTATTCTAACATGCTGAAAACTGGATAAGACCCAAAAGCAATATCCAGATTTTTATCTGGTTTCAAACCAATTGCATCATTCTTTAAATTTTCATTTGATAAAGAATCTTCTTCTATAATACCTCCTGATTTTTTCACTTTTTGTGACACAGGCAATATCTGTTCTGTTATTCAAACCTCACATCATGAATGAAAAGTAATCCTGAGTTGCACCATATATTGCAATTATTGCCAAAAATCCAACAATTTGACCATGCTGAGCAATTCAATATAACACAATCCCTGTTAAATTCAGTCACAAGCAATTTCCACATTTTCCTCCTTCACAGTAAACTCTGGACCAATCAAGCCAGTTACCACCAGCAAGGAGGATTAGCATCTCCCCACCACCATATTGGCTCCCACTCCTCAGCTTACAAAAGACATCAAAGAACAACCATGTAAAGCCTGGAAATCTTATTGTATCAATTCTACCATACTCTTAAGATGTCATGAAGGGCAGCACAATTAGAAAGACAGTCTGTGTCAAAACAAAGTTACAGATTTTAACCCAGCTCCTGGAAAAATAGTAGGATCTATTATCACCAGCTACAGTAGGTCTCTCTGTTCCATTGTAATTATAAAAGATCCTACTTCAGAAAAATAGGATCCTTTCCATTCCAAGAATTAGACTCTTCTGACTGACTTTATGCTCATTATATATTAAGTAGGTTTGTGTCCATTTGATTGATTTAATGAAGGCCTATCATGGCTGGTCAGCAGCTGCCCAGGCCTTGACAGCAAAGCTGCTGTGCATTTCAGAATATTGGGGGAGCGGGGGGGAAGATAATGGTTAAAATCTCCCTCCCATCTCCAGTAATGTAACAATTTGCAGCTCTAAAACAAAAGGTCCACTGAGAATATTCTGGCAGAGGATGGACAGAAGCTATTTTGACCTTGATTATTAAAGGAGAAGCTCTACAAAATGTAAAATTCAAGATTTGAGTAATTCAACATTTTTAGTCAAATAAACGCAAGGCAGTATCATTCACTTGTCAATTCTCCTGCAACCGGTATTACTGCCGAAGGGAAAAGAAAAAAGAAATTATGATAAATTCCCTAAATGTTCTCTAATTGTAATATCTAGCATGGCCCACAATTAGAATATGCATCGTAACAGTTGAATCAGGAATTTGATTTAATGGGCTAGAATGACAGTACTCCTCTGACATAGTCTAAACAGATTAATATCTATCCTCTGCTACATAGCTTCAGCATGAAGATGCTCACCTTATTTTTACATGCCTACTTGTCACCTGGAAATAATGGTTTCTACAGCTTTTCCTATCAGCACATCTACCTGTCTGGAATCCTTTGCTTCACTACTCTACATTTACATTATTCTTTAAAAATAACCTCTATTTCTTTTACAG